GCAGCACATCTGGACCTGCCAAGGCTGAAGACCCCGATCGGGATGCTGCCCAGTTAGGCCGGTTTGCCTACCCTCTCTGGACATGTCAGACGTGTGGGAGGGAGACAGCTGAGAGCTGAGAGCCGTGTGCCGCAGTATGAGCCCTCAGAAAAAACCCCAGTAAAGGCCGCTCAGCTGCACTGGACCTAACATATAGCAAAGCTGTAGATGGGTTGGGGGTGGGAGGGGTGGGTGTGTGAAAAGCACCAGTGTACCCTCCACACACCTGATGGTTTGAGTCCATCCATGAAGTCAACTTTGATGATCTTTACAGAAACACCACCATCCACATCATCAGTTCATGTGCAAACCCACCAGTGACAACCTTAACCGCTACCCAGCCCTAACCGTAACCAAACCAAATACAAGGCTTTCAGCATTTTTACTTTTTTCACTGCAGTCACTCACAGATTTTTCTAAAATGAAGTTTCCCATTGTGGGGAATGAAAAAAAGGTATTTACACACACACACACACACACACACACACACACATGCACACACACACACACACCATGGCATTAATCGAATCACTCCATCCTGTTACTCCTCGTTGCTCGTTACTCCTTTCCCAGTCCAGAAGAGAAGCAAGAATCCTGTGTTCTCTGTTGCTTATGTGTCTTTAACCTACAATGAGATCACAGGCGGGTCATGTGCACCTGCTGTATTCACACATGAAACTAATTGGCTTGATTTGATCTGCCTACTTATCTGCAAGGATAAATATGAATAGCCATAATGAAAATCACTTACATTTTTTCTTTCAATGCCCAAATGAATGTTAGGAATTAAATAATCTAAACAGCTCCTGCCCTCAAAGGTTAGTACAGGGGAAGCCATTCTCAACAACTATGGTCGCTGGATCGTACCGCCTTCACTAGTAATAATTTATGGCTTAATCTTACAAGCAGACATATTAAATTAGTTTTACTCTTCGAAATTGACTGTACAATAAAACAAGCGGAATTAGCCACCGGAGAGTCTTACCGAAACTCAATGACGAGACTCCATTTTTAATGAGGGGAGCGAGCAAGCATTATCGCGGATATGGGAGCAGGACCCTGTCAAATCTGACATTCATTAATATTTGATGAGAGGAACGTGACAGAGACAGAAATTGATCTCGTTTTCCAGGCTCCCCCCACTCCATCCAATATTTGAAGAAGTTCTGAAATGTAAATAAAAAGAGCTAACAAGACGTAGCAAGTAGCACACATCGAGTCTCGAATCTCTGATCAACCCCAGTAGCCTGAATTATTCAGCGTCGCCCTGGTGCAACTCATTACAAAGCTCTTTCTACGACTGGGGCCCAGTCAAATTACACTCGGGGCGATTCTTCCCGAAAAAGGATTATTTACCGCCAGCTGTATTCCGCTAAAAATCAGGCAAGACCAAAAAAGCTTGACAAAATTGTTTGGAGGGAAATGTCAGCGTTGTCAGGAATTGGGAGTGATATTCCTGCTTTGTTCAGAAGAAATGCAGTTGTCATCTGTTAACTCCGTCAATATTAATTGTCGGCTATTTGGATCTGTTTGCCTGCAGCTCTACAGTTTCTACTCCATTACCTTCACTGTATTAAAATGTATATATTCCAAGCGGTGGATTTTGTGTGTATCGGTCCGATTCCACCTTTATTTGAACAGAACACAATTAGACAGAGCAAACCGAGTCAGTGCGGAGCTCTAATCTCGATGGCGAGGAATCATCTCTCGTTCCGAGAACCGGGATGAAATGTAAATATTGACGAACATGAGCGGATGTAAATTACACGCCTAAGTGGAGGGCTCTGATTTGTGCTTTGCAGGAAACCGGGAGCCATTTTGAATGAGATTTATGCTGGGCTGCCGCCTCAGAGACTAGCTGCCGAGTTATTCTTCGGTAAAACAATAATTTTTTAAGAAAACCTCTAACCTACTTGAAATCAGACCGCTGTAATAGATGGCTGTGATCAGCTGTCTGCGTTATTTTTACAGACAGTGCAGATATGCATGCTGGGATATTTAAAGTAAACTGCTCATTCCTTAATAAATAGGATATTCAATTCTATCATGCTAAATAGGCCCACTGGAACCATTTTGAATAAAAAGTTTTTATTTATAGATATTACACCCTGCAGTAGAGAGTTTAATACAAGGCAGCACAGACCAATAAAATATCTAATGCTATAAATAACAATAACATTCGAATAGTTAAATCTAGGATAGCTCTAGATTTCTTCTAGGTTTACACAGACCAACAGAGCAGAATATCTAAGCCAACAAGGTATCAGTAACTTTTAGAATTATTATTATTATTTTTAACAGTTTAAATATCAGTAGATAGTGTTTTTTTCACTACCCAGATAAACAGCCATAGATTTTATTTGACTGCCTAAGACTTTTGCACAGTACTGAAAACACACAGGCACAGGTTTGTAATTACCTTTGTGGGGACTCTCCATTCATTTCTATGGGGAAACTCTAACCCCAACTTGATGACCTTAACCCCTACCCAGCCCTAACCTTAACCATAAGTAACCAAACAAAGTACGAGACTTTTGGCATTTTTAGTTTTTAGGTTGCATTCTCAGATCTTTGTGGGGATCTGAGAATGCAACCTAAAAATAACAGGTTTTTACCACATCGTGGGGGCCATTTTGATCCCCATAATGCAATATAAACCTAATCCACACACACACACACACACACATAGATATATGTAGTATATCAAATTTTGTCTTGGAGGCGTAGGTTTTATGTCTATTTTAGTCAAGTTCAAAAGAAAACAGCTGCATTGTGGCTCATGCTCTCTGGATGTGGCCTCGACCTAGCAGTGAATTAGCATAATTTCCCAGGCACCCCCATGCTTCGCGCCCCCACTCTGATCCTGCAGTTCAGATGGCTCCGGCAGACTAGAGGACAAAGTCCCTGTACAAATGGAGAATAATGGAAGCCGGTTCTCCAACAACAAAGGCTCACTTTACTTCAAAAGACTGCTGGGGGAATAGGAGATGTCTATCTTCATTATCCAGGCCTTCATGGCCTCTCTCCCCTTCTGAACTGTAACACGGCTGAGCACCAAAGCCAAATCAAAAGCAACAGCGATTGATACACTATATGCGATTTGTAGATTTAAAGAAAAAGGAGAGATTGCGCTCGGTGGCACCACTTTACCCATCCGCTGCCTTTGTTGAGGTGTAACATTTCAGGAGCGTATCTTTAAGGTTCCTGAGGGAGGTTGGTACACGCCGCAGACCTGTCACCCTCAAGCTCTCCGTGGCGGCGATGATCAGAGCGTGCTTGATGTATGAATGTCGCTCGCATTGTCTCACTAGTGCTCTCCGTGAGCGGTGGATCCGTGCAATGTGGGTGGCTGTAACACGGGACGGTCAAAATGCTCTTTTAATTACACAGGCACTTGTGATGTTAGCTGGGCGACGTACTGACCTGCTCTGTTCCCGAAACGGCCCAGTTATCAGACACTCCATCTTATCAGCCTGTTATGGTTTTTTTTTCCTGTCCTGCAATCCAAAATCGAGGCTCGGAGGTAACACCGCTGCTTTTGTCTCGTGGGACGAACAGGGCATAGGGGTCCCCCCCCCCCCTGCCGTGAGTGTGATTCTGATGCAAAGCATCCTTTTAAAGGTTGCAAATAATAGAAGACAGTTTTCCATGATGATTTCATGTTATTTTTGGAAACGCTCCAATAGGAGGGTAAGGATGCTGAAACCATCTCCGGATTTGGCAGCCGGCCACATGAGCCATCCGCGGACGCTTAATTGGGGATGACATCGGCGCTGCTCGGGGATAAACAAATTTTGTTAATTATGCGCATGGGTGCTCAATCGTTTTTTTTTTTTTATTATTTTCAGCCAGGCCCAAACCAGGTTGGACACCCCATGGATGGGGTCCTTCCATCCTCCTCATCGGCATTGTCCACACTTCTGCTTTTCTGATACTTCTTGTCTTCATTGCATTGCGATGCCCATGTCACCTGTCGGTTTCCCAGCGGAGCGGCTAATAGAAGGTGCCAGAAAACTTCCGCAGAGTTTCACTGAATAAGGAATAACTGCAGCCCCCGTGTCAGCATATGGCCAGAAATAAACGCCTGTTCTGAATGATACACAAGCAGCTGCCACTGGAAACCTGAATGAGTGTGTTACCATTTTCACATGAGAGCTGAGACAGGTGTGTGTTGAAGGGGGGCTGCATCACCCTCTCTGATGTCCCTGTGGCGTGTGGTTCAGGGTGTTTGTCAGCTGGGTGATTTACATGAGCTCACAGACAATGTTACCTGGCAGCTCTGGTTCACCAGGCATCTGCGGTTTGGGGGTGACCCACTCGGGAAGCAGAGTGACATCGGGGGGCTTTAGCCACCTGGCCTTGGATTCGGATCCCGCGTTACACTCTGCACTCCGTTGCAGGAGCACCTACCCTGGATATTCGAGACCTGGGTCACTCTGCCTTGCACTGCCCCCCAGTTGGGCCCCAGCCCCACCCAGCTCGTGCCCCTGTACTGAATAAGCCATTAGGAGGTGGATGGATGTGGACTTCTACACAAACTTCACTCCTCTCACTTTCCAGGTTTGAAGATGTTTGCCCGTTTGAGGTGGATGGCGCCCCCACCTGGCTGGATAAAGGACTACAATGAGCTAATGAGCTGGGTAGTTTCTGCAGACAGCTGACTCCCCAGTTTTAGGTGGGGAGGGGGGTCTTCTCGCACATATATTTGGGCTCTCCCATCCCAGAACCAATTTGTCATATCAACCACAACTCCCCCCCCCCCCCCACCCCTGCAGAGGGCGGACCTGGGAGGCTCTGGAGTGTCCCAGTGCGGCCGGCCTAATGTTGTGCATCAGCACCTCCTCACATTCATCTTCCCTCTCATTGCCTGCTCCGTATCTCGCTCCTGGGGGGTCTGGCAATGTAATCCTATGTCTGTAGATAATATTGCCCCCCTCCCCTACACCCAAACTACCCCTGTTGCCATCACAACACCTCCCCTCTGCTGTACTCTCTTCCTACTGTATGTCCTTGGAGCAAACCCAGGGTGTCTGCGATGGATCAGGCAGCTTCGGCCAGCGTGAAGATGACACACATGATCACATTCTGAAATTCCTGAATAAAAACAGAGAAAGACTCCCATATGGTCGAAATCTACAATCGTGTTTAAAGCTCTTTTTCAAAGTAGTCACATTGTATTATTCAAGATTTGCGCATGTTTTATCATATATTTATCCATAAACTATCTGTAAATATAATAGTTCAGCAACATGCAGCCCATTTTTGTTCGTGACCCACTGGAAAGGTCTCACTGAACATGATTTTATAATGGTTTTGGATTTATTTATTTGTCTTCTGAGACACATTAAAGTGAACCAACTTAAAAATAGGAGCGTGCAGTTTTATTATGGAAGTTTTGTACAGGAGGATGTCCTGCTGGGAATTGCACCTCTTTTTGGGTCGCAGGTCCAGCTCCTTGAAGTGACAGACAGGCCGCTGTAGCCCGTCATGGCGACCAGAATCCGCTCTGTATGTACATGCTGTCTGCAACACTGGAAGGCAGCCACTGGCTTCGCACCTGCGATGTAAAGGCCAGGAGTCCCTCTCCGCTTCACTGACATGCAGCTAAAAACCTCCAGTGTGACAGTCCTCCTCCCACGCAGTGTGGAGGCAGCTCCTACTGTCAAAGGTTCGACCCGCGGAGTAGCTGAGCCAGTAGAACCCACCCTTTCGGCTTGGCGGGGCGGGCCGGCCTCTCCGATCACCACGGGTCGCTACCAGCCGCTTGCTCCGCGTCTGACGGCCTTGCGGCCTCCTGCCACTCCTGGCTGGTTACCAGCTCTGCTGATTTAACAGAAAGACGCTGATCCACATGTTTTATTCATTCCATGTTTGTTATCATTTTGCCCTAGTTTCCATTTGCACAGGGATGAAGGGATGAACAGCATAATGGGGATGTACTTATAACCTGCTGTTTTTTTTGAGAGAATACAGTGAAACACACGCCGCATGCATGGTGACGTATGCCCACAAAAGTTTGCATGCAGACATGCACTCGCAAAAGCATGCACGCACATGTATGCCCACAGAAGCATGCACACAGACGTACACCCGCAGAAGCATGCCCGCAGATGCGCGCCCGCAGACACACACACCGATGGATGCCCGCAGACATATTCCAGCAGATGCACGGCAGCAGATATATGGATGCAGATGCATGGACGCATGCAAGTTCCCAAGTTCCCAGCTACTGGAATGAGACTCCTGCAGCGTCCTGCTTCCATGGGACACTGACAGTCTGACTCGGGTCTCACTGTGACAGCTAGGAAACAGCTTTTAACACATTTAAATGTGTGCTGGGATGTTGAAATGAGGAGCACAATTTCTAACCCAACAAACTGGCATGAGTATGACATCACCAGGGTCTTATCATTCAGGTGGCACTATGAATCACCCTCTGACACTGTGGTCCCACCCACCACCCAAGACCCAGCCCAGCCCCCTGAGACTCTGCCCTTCCCCAAGGCCCAGCTGGCCACTTGAGGCCTAGCTTGTCACCTAAGGCTCTGCCTACCAACAAATGCTTCACCCATCACCAAGTGCCAAGCCCACCTCTAGGTCCCACCCACCACCTTCGGCCAAGCTTGGCCCCGCCCCCTTTGCCGAATTGTTGGATCATTTTCTCTGGGGTCCCGTGCGGTTCGGCGTCGTCCCGCTCTGTGGATTTTCTGCCCTGCTCTCTCTCTCTGCGCACTGCACCATTTCTATTTTTCAGCCCAAACGGGGGCCTTGGCCGTCCCGTGGGGGTTCATTTGGTTAGACTTTGATACAGCGCGTCGGATCCAGCCTTAATATTTTACAGCAGAAAACCCCCGCACCATCTTTTATCTTTTATTTATGCCTGTCTTCTCACCCATTGCTCACCAGCGGCTAGAGAGTCAGAGGTAGCGGCATTGATCTTCCCATTTCTGCACCTCCCCCCCCCTCATCCCCACACCTCAAGCCTATCCCACCGCCCGGGCTTTTTCCCTGTCCCGGAGACAGATGAGGTTTTGGTATGTGCGGCTCTTTGTGCTCCTTCCCCATGCATGAAATCAAAGCGCAGAAGCTGAAATTTGACAACTGGAAGTAATGGTGGTCATCTCACTTATAAACATATTAGGACAGCCCTCAATAATTTAAGGGGCCTCCATGTCTCTCAGAAAAAACAAAGAAACTCTCCGAAGCGACAGCAGCCGCAGTCGGTCTCGCCATGAATCAAACCCCATGACTGTTTGCATGGTGGCCGTATGATAACCTGGACCCATCAGGACATTTTCTTCAAAGAGACCTCACATGACACTTTCTACAGACTACGTTACAAAGTCAAACCTACATGAATGGCGATGGGACGGGGCCAACAAATGGGGGCATTCTTGAGCTCACAACTAAAGGCAGCTGAAAAGTGGCACCGGTATACTCGATAAATCACGCTTACGTATACTCAGGCTGTACCTACTCTACTTACAGTGTTACTCCAGACTAATTACATAATTGCTAATTTTCACAAGTGGGACCTTTGCCTCGTAAAAACACTAAGTGCTCATTTTAGGTCCTAAGTGGAGTAATCTAAAAATGTAGGGAGGCAAATATAATTAAATACACGTTAAGTTCTCTTCCAAATATCTATGGGGAAGACTTTCATTTTACGTTAACCAAATAAAAACAAAGAACTTCCTGAATGTGCATTTCGTAGATTTAAATTGGACAGCTGACACGTGAGTGGAGAACGCTCCCATGTGGAACATCCAGGCCAAACATGTGTGGGGTTTGCATGTCCTCCTCTGGCTTCCTCGGTTCTCTCCTGCATTCCCAAAACATTTCAATGGACCCACAGTATGTGTGTGTGTGTGTGTCTGTGTGTGTGTGTCCTGTGATGGACTGGCATCCCATTCAGGCTGACCCTGCCCTGTGGGATATAGGCTCCAGGCTCATAAGAATCCTGTCCTAGATCAGAGAGCTAGAGCCACTGATCCAGTCATGTGAATTCCTGCTGACCCCAGTGTGGGGACGTTGGTCTAGGCAGAGTCTGGCTTAGTCATGTGACCATGCAGAATATAACCTGGGGGGGGGGGCTCCCTGTCTCGTTTTATTTTATACATTTTATTTTATATCTTTGTGGGAACCATCCATTCATTTCTCTGGGAATAACCCTAATCCCAACAATGACAACCCTAACCCCTACCCAGACCTAACCTTAACCATAAGTAACCAAACAAAATACTAGACTTTTGGCTGTTTTGGTTTTTTGATTGCATTCACAGATCTTTGTGGGGACTTGGAAAATGGTCCTCACAACATCAAAATAACAGGTTTTTATCATATTATGGGGGACATTTGGTCTGCACAATGTAATATAATCATAATCCACACACACACGCAGACACACACACACACACACTCACACACACAAACTACGGTCAGTTACAGATGCCAGTTTACTGAGCTCCGTGTATTTGGGCAGTGGGAGGAAACTGCATTATGCAAAGGAAATGGGGGAAAACATGCAAAATCCACACATATTTTATGAATGAAAGTATTCAAAAGCTCAGTACAGCACCCGGAATGTTAAAGACAATCTTTTCAAAGATTTAGAATCAAGGGAGAGAATTTCTGTATGAAGGCAAAATAAGCCAGTCTATAAAGATATATGCAGCAGTGCCAGTCTGGTAACGAAATAGCAATGGAATAAATGAGTATTTATAACCTCACACTTCTTCACATTGTCCACCCATCTATCTTCTGACCGCTTAGCCTGGTCAGGGTTGTGGGGATCACTTTACATCAGTGCCACTTAAATATATAAAAACTCAGAGGCAGGCGGGAGTGCAGAGTGCATTTTGATTTATAGAAAATAAGGAATTACTTTTTCATAGGCCTCCATAAATGAACCAGCACACAGAATTACAATGACTGAAGGTCAGATTTCCTGACGGTGCAAGCCCTTCCTGTTTACGACTCACATGTTTACCTGATTCATTGCACGTCGCTCACAAACGTGCGTAAAACTTTGGACAACGTTTCTAAGAAGCTGCCAAACAGCTCTCTCCATCAAAATCATGCAGATAGCATGTGGCTTGTAACCCAAGACATGCTGATAGATCGATAAAACATAGTTTGTGTTTCAGAATGCAGATACACAATAAAAAAATAATATATTAATCTATCTCATCCTAGTCCCAGGCAGCATAGGGCCCAAGGCTGGGGTACACCCTGGGCAGGATGCCAGTCAATCACAGGGCACAAGGCTGGGGTACACCCTGGGTGGGATGCCAGTCAATCACAGGGCACAAGGCTGGGGTACACCCTGGGCAGGATGTGAGTCAATCACAGGGCACAAGGCTGGGGTACACCCTGGGCAGGATGCCAGTCAATCACAGGGCACAAGGCTGGGGTACATCCTGGGCAGGATGCCAGTCAATCACAGGGCACAAGGCTGGGGTACATCCTGGGCAGGATGCCAGTCCATCACAGGGCACAAGGCTGGGGTACATCCTGGACAGGATGCCAGTCAATCACAGGGCATTCACACTACTGGCAACTTAGTGGCACCAGTTGTTCTAACTGCATGCCTTTGGACAACAGGAGGAAACCCTCTCGACGGCAGAAGCAGTTTTACGATAAAATAAATACTACTTTTGCAAGGAAAATATGGACATTTCTGGCCTACATCACAAATAATGGAAAAAGACGCAATAAACATGTTATATATAAAAGAATATTCTCAGTCTTGTACATATTCCATGCTAAAAATTACCTCAGTTTATTATTGAGCTGTAAATCTTTTAAAGCGCTACATACTCATGATCTTGGTAGTGGAAATACGAAGTAATGGCCTTTGCCTGTATGTTTGCGATCTTATAGCATAATGGCAGCCTTAAACAGAGCTGGGAGTGTATGCACTGACCACATGGTCACAGGCTGTGATGGACTGCAGGGAGCAGCAGAATCCCCTCTGTGTCTTCCAATCACATTCCTCCCAGTGCAGGTTTGATCACGAAGGCCCAGATGCATGATGGCTGCAGCGTCAACCAGAGGCCCCGCCCTACCAAGCATGGGGGGCGGGACAGGGGGAGCAGCATGCCCTCTGATTGGCCAAGGATCCACCCACATGCCCCTGGCAGCTGTCCCAGAGGGAGACATGGGAGTCAGTGCGCAGAAACATCATAAGGCGGCGCTTTGCTTTGGAGAGCCTGAGCCTTGCCTTTGGAGATCAGAGGAGCGGGCTAGACATCTCTCCACACAGTAGCCACATCTCTGGATGCTGATCAAGAGGGACGCGCATGGCCGGCGGTGGAACTGCTCCAATCCACCTACCCCGCCGCACGCTGGTCCACATGCAGAAACTGCTTCAAGGCCTCAACCTTCAGCTTCAGTCCTCGGAGAGAAAGGAAGCCAGAGGATAGCAGCTACCGTACTCACACACGCAAACACACACACACACACACGCACGCACACACACACACACACACACGCATATGCTGATAGCATTAATCCGCACATACACAGAGTCAGTGATCCCCACAACGCTGGGAGATTTAAAAGCAGACCCATTTGGGGAATTACAGAAGCGGATGGAAACAGGCCTTCCAGGGGACTAGGAGAACAGTCCCACCCAATGAGGTGAAGACTCACACAGAGGATCCGCCTTCCTCAGCCAATGAAACGGTATGCAGAAGCTTCCGGAACTCCTGCCAGAATAAAAGCCCGTGCCAAGGTGATGGAGGCCCGCCTTCTCTTTGCTGTCTTCAGTCTGTTTGACTGTGTCTTATCCCGCATTTGATGGATGCCCAAGCAGCATCCATTGAGGACACCATATCTCTCCCGCAGAGCCGTCGTATATCCGTCATCCTGCTCGGCGTAAACTGCAGCCCGTGTGTGATTTAAGCACAGCCTGCGGGGGCTACGTGATGTGAGGCCAGGCCTCCGTCTGTTTCCCCTTTTACTTCCCCACCTACCTCACCCTCCCCACCCCAACCCCCCCACCAACAAACCATCGCTCCAGGAGCTGAGATCAATTTTCAAAGCCGTTGATCTCCATTATCTCTTGGGCTCGGCGCCAGGCCCGGAGCGGCTCTCTGTGGGTCCGCTGGGCAGTGCCAGGCTCTCGGCATGACACTGAGACACTCCTCCTCCAGCCCCCCCAGCCCCTCACCCCACCGCCCCATCTTCAGATGGTCCGACCCGACTCCATTCTATACCCCATGGCGTTCCCGGGGTAGGAAAATAAATAAGTGTGAAAGTGCCAGCGGAACGATGGGAAGCAAAAAGATGAAATAAAAATTGAAAGGAACAGAAAATGAATGTATGTGACGCCCATATACCAGGAGGGTGGGAAATCGATTCAGCTTTCATCAAATTTGTGCTATTGCTGGTGATTTTCATCACAATTTCCTGCTATAATAATTGACCTACTGAACCCTATGTGACCATCTGCCCTGCGATAGATAGAGGAGATGAAACCTTATATACACGGATGACTAAAGAGTGACTGAGTAATACGGAATATGAATGAAACATGACGTATAATTAATTATAATTATTTATAACTAAATAATAGCATGATGCTAAAAAACACACCAAGAAGAGTTTTGTGGGGTCGATTTTTGTTTGGGTTTTTAAAAATAGGTTTGGAGAAGAGCGTCTCCTCTACAGAGTTGGCGCGTAAACCACGAAGCCGCAGCATATACGGCAGGGCCTCCGCGGGCACGTGCACTGGATCTGGGGAAGGGGCATGCTGGGAATCCTCAGGGGCTGACACACTTTGAGTGAAGCTGCTTGCTCCCCCCCCCCCCCATCCGCCTCCCGGCGCACGTCATCACGCAGTCGATAAAAAAAGCCGCTCTCATCGATTTAAGGTTCGCGCTCCGATTGGCACACCGGCATCGGGTCGACTTCGACGTCGGTAAGTCCCATCGATTCACGTGTCGCTTTACGATCTGATCTCCGCCGCCGCGGTCTGTCAGTCTGGGTGGGGGGAGGGCAGGAGGAGGGGGGAAGCAGTTTGGAATTCAGCACTAGGGAAACACAGGAAAGCAGACTGTGCTGCAGAGAGATACAGGCCTAGAAATCAGGGCTGGGCCGTGAATCCTGGGAGAAGAAAAACACTACAGACTCATAGGAATGACAGCAGCAGAACAACAGAGTAGTAAACAAACCCCCCCCCCCCAAGTAAGCTTACACTATAACACTGAGTTACTCTGAAAATACTATGTACTTTAAAAAGGTGGGTTTTAAGCATTTTATATGGGGTCCAAACACAAACACACACACACACACACACTCTCTCTCACACACACACAGGCTCATGAGAGCAGTCGATCACCCTGCGTGAAAAGAAGCAGAACAAATTGGTAGATAATGCCCTCTTATTAGCATGGAGATCAGCAGGTGTCGCCGCGGTGGGGGGAAGCCCCCAGGAGATGCTGATTGGACCTGACAGGCGCATGGCTGAGGAATTAGCCAGCCTGCCCCTATCGCTGATTGGGGAAAGCCAAGGAGGAGCGGTCACCAAACTCTCCAATCCCCTGGGTGCTAATTATAATTTACAGGAAAGCGTTCGCCAGGCTAGACGCTCCTACTTACTGCAATTACCAGTCGCTAAATGTTGGAGGCAGCCGGGGCTCCTAATGATTTCCTCGTTCTCACAATCCCCTGTCTTTGTTCTCCTCTCTGTTGCTCTCCTCCACTCGCGCCATCCTCCTCCTCCACCTCCTCCTCCGCGGAGCGACATCACTGGGTTTCTCGACTGAATCGGCTTCGTATGAAAAAAAAATTCCCACTTTGGTAGCTCTCCAATTAACAACTTTACGCTGCCAAACAGACATCTCCCTCATGCCACTCCGCCCCCACCTTCTGTAACAGACCAGACGCCCACCTCCATCTTCCCGGCTGAGGCACCTTTCCCAGAATGCAATGCCCCGTGCCAGCAGAACACTCGGCTTTGGGGGGCGGGGGGGGGGGTGTGATGGTGTAATAATTCTCTGTTTTATTTTGCGTTTCACATTTCCTCCACAAGGATCTCGAATCAGATCCCGCCCACTCCTGCCCTGCAACACGTCCAGCTTAAAAACAATGATGAATACTCACAAGATTGCATCTTGCTTACACAAACACGCACATATAAAAAGTGGTCACACGCGGGTGCGCAGCCAAACCCCCGTCGCACATGCGCTCGCGCGCACACACAGCACATGCAAGCCCAGACTCGCAAACACGGACGTGCACTAACCTAACATCACAGATAAATATCACACGTTGAAATAAACACGTATAGGGAGAATCTTGGGAAAATCTCACCACAGAATGATGATATACCAGAGAAGCACAACGATAACACATGCAGCATCTATTCATTTCCTCTGCTGTGTTTTTAATGTATTTCGCCTTGTTATTGGCCTGGCAATGAAAACAGGCTCCACGCACTGAAGCTAACAGGGCTGTCCGGTTCATTGCCCGTTACAAAGGCGCAAACAGTACAAGTGGTGACATCCCCGCAATGATCATAAAACACGTTCCAGGAACACTTTCATACCACTGCAAAGAGCAATCATTTCCAGTCTTAAAACACTTTCTCACCATTTTGCAAAATAATTACCGGATAATATCTCAGTAGGCACCTTTGGTTTCTACTGATGCGATAAAACATAATTCAAAATGAGACTATCAAAGAATTTATCCGAATCCTGCGCATCCAATTACATGGGTGTCGGAGCTGTTAATTAATCACAAGATAAACACATTACAGAGAATGGGAGCCTTTTTCCGGCAGCTGGGACTGTGAGGAGAGCAGACATTCTCACTTAATCACTTATTCAAAGACTTCAACCTTGTTCTAAACCCCGAGTTTCAGTCCGGAGAGTGGCTGGACATTTCCAGATGGGGTAAACAGTTTCTAACGGAAACTGCAGTTAACGGGACATCAGTGTGGAGCAGACGTCCATGCAGCCATGTGGAAGGCGAGTGGCAGTAGCTCCGCCCCCTTGCATCAGCATCGCTCGCCTTCCGGGGTGCCCGGCTCTCACAGGGCACCTTGGCCTGTCTGCCGGCCCTAAATGAAAGTATGTGGTGGGATAAAGCGAGCATTTATCTGACAGGCTGGCGTGGGCTTGCCGCGTGTGACTTGTTTGTCCAAACATTACCCAGGCATTAAGCCAGAATCTTGACATAGAGTGCAAAAATGTTTTGACAACCCAATCCCGATTTAGTACCGGATCCCCTGGAGATTAAGACGGATCCTCTGTCACCGTGTTGGCTGGGAAAAAAATAAAGAAGACTTGGCAAAGAAATATTTAAGTGCCCTTTGCTCTGACACACCATATCACATCCGTTATGATGGCTGGCTGTTCACTGTGATTTGATTGGCGGCTGCCATTGGGGTCAGCATTTGTCATTGGAAGACTGCATAATTAGCTCATCCTGGCACTTAAATTTGGTTTTTCATAGTTTTAAAATTAGTTGTAATTTAAGCTAATTAGAATGTAATTGCTTTCAATACCTCAAGTCAATTCAAGTCTCAGCATTCTCAAAACAATAAGTAGCAATAAGTGTTTCTGTTTTCGATGTAATACAAACAAACATACTCTTAGACCGAGACAAGTGAAATGGAAAATGACTGACATGATGAGTGAATTAATTACTGAATGAATGTAAACAAAGTTAAAATATTTTAATGTCACATACACTATACATATAAATATATTTTTTAAATTTTGGAAAAGCTCTTAAATGAGAATACCCCTGAATTAAATGTCCTGTTCTTGACTCTACTGACCTCATTGCCTTCCACAGATTGATATCCACATTTCATATGACCTTTAACCTGGTAATGTCCATAGTATCTTTTTTGGTCTCAGATCCAATTTGCAGTGTAGACACAGTGATCATATCTCCATTCTCTACATGTAACAGCAAGGTACCCACATTATATACTGTTAAGCCATGATGTTCACAGCATTTGAAATACCCCGAGCAGTCGTAGTCTCTGTGCATTTAAACATGGCGGACATCTTAATGCCCCCCCCAGTCAGCAATCAGGGGTCAGCGGCGACCCCACAGCCAGCAGGGGGCTCTGAGGGCAGGCCGGAGAGCGGGATGGGTGGAGGGGGGGGGGATGCCAG